TTTTCAAAATGACCAGTTATTAGGATGGCTCTCTAGAATTAAATACCATTTTCACTTGTTGTCAGTTTGACTGAAATTCAGTCATTCACGTCTCGTCTGAAGTTCCTGCTCAGGTTGTCATTGGCCTCAGGTGTGAAAGGTCTCACTGAGGGCGGAGCCAACGCTGCTGGTGATCAGGAAGCAGGTGATGGAGACCTGACCACATGTTCTCTACATGCGTTTTCCTGAAATGTGTGGATTGTTCTGCAGGAAACTCCATTTGAAGGAGGAGTGAGGTAAAAACTCTGAGAAGAGTGGATTTTTTTATTGGTTTTTGCTCATGTTGGGTTCAGTCTATATCTCCTTTCTATTGGTCCATCTGACAGTGGGACGTTTGTCTGCTTAATGGCCTGGACAGGGACAAAACAATATAAATATAATTCAGTGGTGTGTAGAGATTATATATTGTTAGAATTTAATTTATTTTGCCAGAGAGCTACATGTATTTAATCAATTCTTCAACATATAATGTATATATAAATTATGTTGAGTTTTTATGAGTGAATATATATATATAATAATAATATATTGCAACTTTTTCAATGTAGGTCCATCAATTCAGATCTCTGCCCTGTTTTTCAAAATGTGAGGTATACATTCTCTAGGGGGCAGCAGTGAGCTTCAAGGGTAGTGCAAAATGAGGAAAAAGAAGTGAAAAGAAGGCTAGAGTGCAATACAAAAAAACAGCAACTGACATGGGGATGGATGGATGGATGGATGGATGGATGGATGGATGGATGGTTGGATGGATGGGTGGAAGAGAACAGGACGTATGAACAGTGATTATTTTAAAGATTGGATTTTAATGGACTGGTTTGGGCTGTTTTTCTTGCTGGCGATTTGTGTCTGTTTTTGTCGGTTGATGTGCGTGTGATTTTGTATTAATCTGTGTGCACATTTCAAGTCACAGTTTGAAATGTATTTTTTCTACTTCCTGTATAGCAGCCTAGAGTGTTAGACCTTAAATCCCCCTGGTTGGGGTGATGAATACGTCTCTAAACCGTCCTGAAAAGAATGAATTTCAAAGGAATAATTTGTGGACGCTGTTCTTCAACATGACTGAGAATGAACCACAATATCTTGTTTGTTTATGGGTGTGTGTGTCTGTGTCGTGACCTTTTGTCCCGGCCTCATCATTGGACTCAGACCTGGGCAGAGGTGTTGACGTCATCACAGAAAAGACTCACTGGCCCTCTATGCTGACCCCTGCTGGGCTAATTTTCAGATTTAGGATTTGTGAGGAGAGTCCACAAATAATTCCTGCTCCTTCACCTCCCATGTGTCCTCCTGATCCCCCTCCCCCACACTGATGGGGGGGGGGGGGGGGGGGGGGGGGGGGGGGTTTAGAGGTCACTGTATTTGTTCACATGCCGGCCATTTGAATTGATCTCATCTCCATGTTGACAAAACTAAGCTCTTTACCTTTTCTCCTCAATGGAGAAGGTATTGATGGTAGGACTGCTGCTGGTGACCTCTGAGAGAAGGTATTGATGGTAGGACTGCTGCGATCGTCTGGTGACCTCTGACCCCTGCGAAAATGAGCTGCCGCCACAGGAGTCGTGATGTTTTCCCAGTGTGTCACTTACGCAAAACCCGCCACTTTGGTCGAGTGTATATAAACCAGAAGAAGTTCTGAGATGCATCAGCAGATTCAGAGGCTCCACCATGATCTCCGTCTCCTCCGTCCTCATCACTTTGGTGCTGTCCTCAGTCCTGAGCAGCCACCTAGTGGTCGTAGCCATGCCCGAGACCAAGGGAGAAGATGCCATGATGGAGCAGGACAGCCTGGGTTCGTTACTGGGGGAGGAGAGCCTGACGGACCGAGCCATGCTTCCATCAGCGTATGCTAACGGCCTGATGTTGAACAACTACAGAGCAGACGACGGAAACCCTAACGTTCTAATTTTCTCGGTAAGGATTCTCTTTAAAAAAAAGTCTTGCCTAAAAATGTTGATTTATCTAACGGTTCTTTACTGTTTGTAGCGGTTTTGAAGATGGGGAGTTGACGGAAGTCGACCGGGGTTGAAGTGAATTTAGAATAATCATGACATGTATGTATGTATTTATATATGTATGTGTGTATATATATATATATATATACATATATGTGTATATGTATATATATATATGTTGATGATAATGATTTAACACAATATAAGACATTGCAATTTCGTTGGTATTTTTTTTCACGTGTAGCTAAATGATACACTATTTTGGTATTTCATCTTTTTCATCATTTTTTGAGGGAGTATTGCAGGAGTACTGCAGTACTGCAGGACTCAGCAGGACTCAATAGTATTTGTGATGGAAATCAACCATCACAAATACTACTGAGTCCTGCAGTACTGCAGTACTCTGTAACTCCAGTCTAGAGTTTGATGACAACGTTGAACATTATCAAACTGAACTCCAAGTATCCTCAGTATTTCTAGATTCCATTTAACGTTTAAACGCCACCTTTGACCGTTCTACGACCCCAGCACATCATCATCTATGAATTTTTCTCAATAGATCATTCCGGAATAAAAGCGTGTGGCTGTGCTCGGTCCGCAGCGATCCAGCCTACAGTAACATCCTTCTGCCAGTGACAGTCATGCATCATAACCATTAACTGTATGAGATTTCGCTCAATAAACAACCTCCATCACCAACGAGCAGCGGAGGCAACAAAGACCCCATTCTATCCACGCTGCCCCTGAACATTTGACCCCTGTCACTCAGCCACCGTTGTCATGTCTACTGCCGGGTCCGTATTTCATACACATCTATTAAAATCTTTTATGACAGCTCTGGAAAATGGGAAGTACCATTAGTAGAGAAGGTCAAGCGATCGCGGGCCTATAAAGTCGATGGAATCACAGTCAGGAAGAATGATACGTGTTCCTCTAAAATGTTTACCTGGCAGCGGCGTCTCCTGTGCGTCGTGAACACGGCGGTTATCTCTATGGTAATGGCTAACACTCAGCGGTGGTGCAAGGCAACAAAGTCATCTGACTGTGGGCTAGGGAGCAGAAATGGGCCACGGCGAGGTCGTAAAAACAGGTTTTGTGGTTCAGATCAGATGGTGGAATCGTCCGACACGACCTACTGTTGAAGGGACTTTGATTTCCCAGTATGTAGTACCTAGTCTTTATGGCAGTGTTCTTCAACCTTGGGGTTGCAACCCCACATACAGTCGCCTGGAATTCAAATGTGGTCGCCTGAAATGTCTGGTAATTTAGTTTTCTTAACAATGACTTTTTTTCTACTAATTATTCTTTTTAAAGTTATGATGATAAAGTTCAAATAAATTGCAGCATATAAAAATATCTTGGCACAACAGCTGAGGTCACGTGACACATTTTTTTTCTGTTTTTAAAGGACATGCGGCAAAAAGGACAGGGCATTCGTGGGCTGAGTCCAGGTTTTACCCGAAGCCTTCCTCAAATCACAGACCGAAAGATGAACCAGTCCCCGGGCGAATATAGTCTGAAAATGGATCGACGAAACACTGAACTTGACAGTAAATATTAAAAAGAAATATAAATATCTATTCTCACTGGATAAAATCAACCCGTTTTAGATACATTTATGTAATTAAAAACGTGTATAAATATTGTTTCCCCTCTTCTTTTCACAGTGCTGCGCTGCATGATAGGCAGAGTTTACCGACCCTGCTGGGGAACCTCCAACTGAACGCATCATCAAAAATCCAATACCTTATTGTTGTGTGTTTGGATCTTTCTATTCATTTTCCTTGTACAAACAAATAATTGTGCACAGAACATAAAACAAAATAAAAAATGTATTTAATCGAACATTTGCAGCGTATTTACAGTGATGTTTGTAAAAGACAATCAATGTACAACCAATGATGCTGTCATTACACAAAAAATCTCTAATATACCGTGACAAGATTGCTATCAATAAAAAAAGCTGAAAATGTCACATCACAAGATCCAAAATAATTTAAAAAAACATCAAAAAACAAAAATTAAACACCCAAATAAGTTAACTAATTTATTCTGCTTGTTAAAATTGGAGCTAGCTCATGCTAGCCAAGCATATCTTGGTACTTTTAATGATTTTAGCTAGCTTATAACTCAGAGAAACAACCAGGCTAACTGTCCTGACATGATATGGAAAACATTTTTACTCGAGAACTAGCTATGCTAGCTAACCTGCCTTGGCCAGCTCTTGTGTTCTTGCTTGGAATTGTTGGGAAACTACTGCTAACAGCTGGAAAGTTTAGCTAACGGTTGTTCTGCTTCTTTCCAGTGTCTGCTGTTGTTTTTGGAACCTTGTTTTTTTTTTTTAATTGATATCAAATATAAATGTTTAACTTGTATAGATTGTTATTGGAGGCTAGCAGCCTGTGAGCTGAGTTTAGCGCAGGAAATGTTTACATTTCTTGACGTGTGCTACGCAAAATTTAATTAATTTATCAAAAAGGAAGGAGAAAGCAGTCGACAGACTGCTGTGTAACAATAAAAGTCAAAATCCTGTTCAGACCCTGAAGAAGCTGGTCAGCTTCCCCTGACCTGCTATTAGCTTCTTCTTGTTCTGTGCCTTACTAGCGGTCTTCACCGAGGCACTTTTGGGTCGTTTCTTCTCTGGAGGCTGGTTCTGAGATTCTTCACTATTGTCCGATTCCACCTGCTTCCTTTTGTTGCTCTTGCTCTCTGCACAAGTTTTCTTCCTGCCGCCCGCGCCTGCACCCCTGTTTTGGGCATTTCCACTCCTTGGCTCCAGAGCGGCTCCCTGCTGTCTGCCACTGGGCTCCTTATTTGGACATTCAGAGGTCGACTTGGCTGGAAAAGAGTGAAACAAAACAAAAGAAAGTGTGAAAACCTAGCATGGAGGGGAGGAAAAAAAAAGTGTGACGAAAGTGCTGACGTTAGCTCCTAGATGAAGCGGGCTCTGTGTTTACTCTGTGAAGCTGAAATTTAACATTTGTCATGTCACCTGATGGAGCGCAGCCTGAAATCCCCTGAAACAAAAGACAGGAGGGGAAATGGAGAAAAAAGGTGTGTGTGTGTGTGTGTGTGTGTTTTTGGTTTTTTACTACGGATTTGGGGCCATGCAGGTTTTATAGGATGGGGATTCATTTACGGCTAAGTACTGGTCCCAGAGCTGGGGCCTTAAAGGGTTCAAGGCTGGAGCTGAGAAGGTGTGCCTGGGCCTCGGTCCAGCAGGGTGGCGTCAGAGGAAACATATCTGTATCCCAGCAGACACACAAACCCTGCTCGGACCTGTTGACATCTTTAGAGTTTATATGAATGTAAGGTGCGAGAAGGTTCATAAAGAAGGTCCGGTTCGTACCTGCGTCCAAGTCTTCTGACTCGTCGACAACCCGCGAGGCTCCGCGTTTAGGTGCGGGGTGCACGCAGGTTGGAACCTGACTGGTGCTGGGGAAGTCCAGCACACGACTGAGTGGCAGTTCCTCATCGTTGTACGTACAGGCAAACTGAGAGCGGACGGTCCGGTCCCTGGCCTAGAAGATAAAGAACATCTAACATTTTATTATTTGTTGTTCATGATACAGATGGTTATTTAACTCTCAGGACCACGTCAGTCGTGGGCTGACTTGGACAGTTGCGTGGGCTGGACTCAGCCTGTGGGAGGCCAGTTGATGACTGACTGTTTTTTGTAAATTAACTTCTACCAACGGTGAAAATAGATTGGCAGCCAATCGACAAGGAACGATTGACGATGATGAGCGTTAAAAAAGGCCACATGATTTGAAAGACGATGTCCAGTTTATTGGGGACAGTCCAGTCAGAAATGTCATTTTGACCTGGACGTGTGGAAAGGTGAAATGAGTGATGGACGATTTGCTGCAGAACAGGAAGGATTTATTTATCTTTTGGCTCGGGCTCAGACACCTTGGACCCCTGACGAGGCTCTGTGGCAGTGGAACTTTTGTGACTCACCTTAATAGATTGGTGTGATGAATCCTTTTGGAAAAGAAGTGGAAAAACACTTGGCGGACGTTAGTGAATTTTTTGCCAAGTTAAAACAAAAAAAAAAATTCTCATAAAATGTGGTTGCAATATTGATGAGAAGACGATGAGATGAATTGTCTGTATGTGACGTGGAAGGTATTAGAACAAAAACTTAGTTTAGACTTGGTACACATCGCTACTGGATTTGGTGTATCCCAGCTACCTTGGGTAGCCTGTGGGCTAGCAGTTGGAGTATGGTGCTTGTAAGTGAAGAATTGCCGGCGTGAATCTCGGCAGTGTTGTGATGAGGTGACAACAAAAACTCCCTCAAACAAGTGTCCACTTGTTTGAGGTTCAAAGTCGTAGAGAAGGTTTCTTGGTTGCATTAGAACATTATCACTGAGGCCACGACACAAGATGGAATCAATAACTTGGACCAAATCACAGCTGACGTGGAACATCTAATCCAATTAAACAGGCAGAGCAGCCAGACACGGCCCTGTGTGGTCATGCACTGTTCGTTCCTCCACTGACGACTGTCCTCAGATACCCTCCCCCCCCCTCCTCCCACCCCCGTGCAAACCCACCCACAGACACAGGAGACACCTGACCAAGACATTCCTGATGGGAACATGTAGAAAGCAGGTGCTAACAATCTCTGCGTCTGCGTGTTCCGACATGTGTTCCCACACATGCGGTCGATAGAAGTGAGAATGAGCCGCAGGTGCAGACTCGCGCCTCAGAGGACGGCTCGCAGAAACAGACGTGCACTTTGATCATCATATAATCGAACGTGTCTTTTCACAAACAAACGAGAGCAGCATTCCGTTGGCCTCGGGAGCTTTTTCAAGGTTGTCTTTTTTCTGCTACATTTGGATCATTACTGGCAACAAAGAAATATTTCTGGACATGTCCCAAAAGCAGAAACTGGATCCGTCCATATCAGCGTGTGCCAGTTGGGGGAGGGGTGGGGGTGGATAGTGGATAAAAATCTTTCAGCAGACAACAGGAAACAATAACCTTTCAAGTTTTCCCTTTGCTAAGCTGACTTGCGTGTCTGATATGGCTTCTTCAAAGTGAAATTGATGCAGAAAGCTTCCGCCCCGCCGAGTTCAGGAAGTGGTGAGCTGCCCAGGGACCATTACGGCGCACTCACACAGGAAGGCGGCCAGATTGTGGGGAGCTAAGATGACATCTGCTCGTGCAATCAAATAAAAGAGGCATTTGACAAAATGTGTTTCGCATACACGGGAGTTCACACAGCGGAGCTGATTAGTGTTGGAGGATCAGTCTGGCCTTAAAGATTTAAAGATATTTGGAGTCAACCTGGCACAACCAAACTGAAATCAAAATAAATAAAAAAAAACAACAACACACATTCGACTCAGAGAAAATAAAGCCGGGATGGGGAACACTGTGATAATGGTGTAATGACCTTTAAAGCACATCTAAATCCAAACATACTTGAACTCTGTTTCAAGGCCACGACCCAGCAGGAGCTCAAGGAAAACTCTCTTTACCGCATTGTTCTTGAGTTTTCAGATTGATTTAAAATTTGTAATTTGACGCAATCAAAACATTTCATTATTTGAGGCTGTGTTATTTTATCCCATTTTTCCAATATCAATAGTTCACCTTAATAATAGACGTCCAGGTGGAGCTAAAGAACTAAACTGTTTCTTTTTTATCTGTACTACATTCGCAGAATTTTACAAACTCACCGTACAATTTCAGCTTTGAACACTGACATCTGGTCTATTGTATTGACTGGCTACACCATTTGTCTGTATCAGGACTGCTGAAGCTAACATTAGCCCTGGTGTCCGTAACAGCCCTGCTGTGGCTAACATTAGCCCTGGTGTTTATACCAGGACCGTTGTAGCTAACATTAGCTCTGGTATATGTATCAGGACTGTTGTAGCTAACATTAGCTCTGGGGTCTGTACCAGAGCCGTTGTAGCTAATGTTAGCTTTGGTATCTGTATCAGGAATGATATAGCTAACGTTAGCTATGGGGTTGGTACCAGGACTGTTTTAGCTAACATTAGCTCTATCCATCATTTTGAAGTACAATGGACTGGAAAACTAATTTTAGGTGTATTATCATCACTGTTTGCCAGAAAATAGTGATCAAAACAAATTCATTTAAACTCCCAGACGCAGCATGAATATATGGACAAAAACATGTCTTGTGAGGGATTGAAATATTTTACTATGACTATTTTTGGGGCCAGGTTCCGGCACTTTATGGTCATTCGGCCACAGGGGTCCTGTTAAATCCTGATCCTGTTCTTGTGGATTTGAAGAATAAGGCAGTGTAGTAAAAGGCATCACGGTAAATGTACAGAAGTAAATTTAGTGCTGCCCCCCTCCCTGCCCCCCCTCCCCGCTGCATCTGTGTGGTTTATGCTTACTTCATGTACAACAGGACCGAGCCAAACCAAGCTGGCGGCCAGGGAGAACACATGAGATATTAACATCAGATGTACAGTGCACTGTAAGCACAGGCTCCCGTTGCTGCGACTTATCATCAGGATTGGGTTAATAGTCGTAATTCTGCACAAATAAGTAACTCCATGCCTTGGAGTGAGGCAGCAGCCTCAGCCCTGCACCGAGAGCTAAAACACAGCTGTGCAAACGGCAACGGTGGAAGTCAGTAAAGATGTGAGCTTCAGCTAAGCAAATAAATAATAATACCAGCGAGAAATTACAGGATATAAAGACATTATTTTCAGTGTTTGTACATCTGATTCAATTTGAACTCACTGATGGTTTGAATTTGGCTCCTCCGCAGGTGGGAGGCCCACATTACCTTGGGTTTGAGCAGGTCCAGTCGGCTCTGGACGCGACTCTTCAGGGGTTGCGGCGAACATCCAGTGGATACTTCAGGAGATCTGGGTCAGAGGGAGAGCAGAAGGAAAAGCAAAGATAAGAGAAACAGAATTCACATTCAACTTTGACGGTTTCACTCGTGTCGGGCTGAGCTGATTCTTGGTTTTCACACGGGAAATTTTGGATCCAAGCCACTTGCTGTCAAATGTCCACCTCCAATGTTATGTGGACCCCTGCCCCCCCCCAACCCCAAACCACAGGGCTGCTTATTTAAATATTTTTATTTCAGATGTTTGTGCAGAGAAATTGTTCCAGTGTGCTGTGGGAGGATTTTCCTCCCTTTGGTCTCGGTCGAGAGTTGTAGAGTCTTGTGATGATTTAATTGCACGTTAAGGGGATTTCCCACCCTTTCTAAAACCTTGTATCAGTTAAAAATCCAATGGTCAACGTGATCACTCTGGTAGTGAACATTTTCTTATCAGAACTTTTGATACAAAATTTTCTCTCGGGCAAACACTCTGATCTTTATTATAAATGTTTAACTGTAAACAAACCTAAACAACGTGACGACACTTGTTCCCTCAGTTCCATTGATGACGGGCTGCTCCTCGGACAGAAGGTCCGCCTTGTTCCGAGATGGCGGCGTCAGGGCCTCCTGGTCCAGCAGGGCCACCAGCACCTTCACCGTGTCCCGGCCTCCGAATGCAGTGTTGTGATTCAACGCGTACGCTTTAGGCTGGAGATAAAACATAAAAGCAGTGCAATAAGTAAGTGGGCTTCAGTCAGAACACGTTTGCTCAAGGGCTCATGTTGGGCTTTTACCCTGGCGGGGCTAATTCCCGTTCCGTTTACGCCGGCCGGTTGTTTCTGTACTTGGTAGATGTGGGAGATCCTCTCTCTCAGTTCGTTGGCTACCTCTTCAACCGCAGCATACACTGCGTCTCCACTGCTGCGCCCCTTCACCAGCAGAGCCCTGATGGCCATCACCAGCTTGGATCCACACGCACTGGAAGGAAATGTGGCACAGTGACACTGGGGTTAGCATCTGCTGGAGGGAGCTTCACCACGACATACGTAGAAAAGAGGAGAAGAAGAAGAAGAAAAAAAAAGAAGCTGCATTTGTTTTGGAAAGGAGTCGACTCTTCTGCTGAACACATACACTTTTTCATCTGGATGGGATTAATAGCGTTCAAGAGTTCAGCCAAGATTTGCCAACATGAATAACTCTCTCCCAGCACTGGCCAGGGCCGGAGCCCGAGTGTTTTCAGAAAGATATACTGCAGCTTCACTTTCAATTAATTGGACACCGACTTAAAGGGCTCAGCGTAATTGTTTTCTGTTAGCGTCCAGTCCGTCCAGTTGGGCTTTATTTCACGAACTTTGCTCTGCCAAGGTTAACAGTTTCATAGCGCAAGGTCCTGTATGCCCCACTCAGCCCCCCCCCAACCCCCACCCCCGCTGCTGCCTTAAAGTCACCCTGAACCTAGAGCGCTGTCACTGTGCTCAACGCTGGACTGTCAGAAAAACTCCAGGAGTTTTTCCCTTCATTAAGGTCTTATGGTGGGATTTCTTCCCTGCGTGTGCACCGTCTGCACCACATGTCCAAAAATCATAGCAACATATCACTTCTAACAGTCAAGAGCACCGAAGCGTGTTAAAAAAAAAAGAAAAAAAAGAAGTTTGCAGTACGCTGCAGAGGTGGTGGTCCAACTCGACCCAGCTCTAATGTAGGTACAGCAGGACCAAGTAACAGGATCATTTGGGAAAACAGATGTTCGGTGAGAAACGTGACCTTGAACTCCCAGTGGAAGGTGTTTGTACGAGGAAATAGAGTCTTCCTGTAGTGAAGTACTGGTGATACTGGTTGAAAAACAAAAAAACTAGCTTTGTTCTATGTGTTCTACAGGTAATAGCACTTTTAGCAATTAGGTCAACCTTTCTTTGTAGCAACTGTAAAGTCACATGCTCTATATAAATTACTTCTGAATACTTTTCTAGGAAAACTCAATGCTATTGTAGAACAAAATTCATCATTGTTACAAATCTCGGCTATTTCAGAAACATTTTTAAGCTCATCCTGAGGAAGCCAACTGCTTAGCCAGGAAGCTAACATATTGTCCTTCCATTTCAGCTAACTTTAGCTGTAAGGCCCTACCATAATGTACATTTTTGTCAATTCGCTGCTTTCTTCTACAATTACCACTATGTTGTCTTCTATACAGTTTATATTATGTTTAGATAAACTTGAGGCTGCAGTTTTTTGTTTTAGTTTTAGTGCTACACTGGCTACATTTATATTGAACAGCAACTCTCAAAAGCTCAGGTTTTTTTTATCTGAAAAAGACCTGAAAATTCAATCATTCTGCAAGAAAACACTGTGACTGTGACTGCGCCAATCGGTGACCTCTCCTCAAAGCCAAGCCCTTACGCGACCGATCTCCTAAAATCATTTCTGATAGCCTCCTATGATGCGGTGCCAAACGCTCCAGAGATCTGAAATAATCTTTAAACCTTGGGGGGAGCGATCTGCGTCACCTGAAGTCTGATGATAGTTCATCAAAGTGAGCCAAACAAAACAGGGAACAAGTCGTTTCAGCACCAAACGCTCTTTGATGTGAAAAAGATGAACAGGTTTTAGCAATCCGGATGTTATCATGAGATTCTTAGGTACAAGTCATTAGGGGGGAGATTTTAAAGAAAATCATATGATGCATTGGGGACAGGTGGAGTTCACGAACTGCTGTTCGGGCTTTCAGTGCACAGGTGTCTGCCAGGTGGAGGAGTCAGCTGTAAACACAGTGATGAACTGCAGCAGCAGCAGCAGCAGCAGCAGCAGA